TCGATGGTCCCTAAGTAAAGTATCGAATCAACAAAATAGCAATTTTTTATTATTACTTTTTTGAGCTCTTTTTAAAGGATATTTTTTAATACAACTTCAAAAAAGAGGAAAATTCTTAAGTTTCGCGATATTTAGAGACGTATGTTATCGGAATGTAATACTCTAGCCGTCGTATAACAACGAAAGTTAACTCTCGCGAGCTTACGTTGTATCGGCGAGAGTGCGAAAAGGACGGAACTACCACTGTCGCGAGTGTACGCGCCGTCCTCGCCGCGCCCCGCAGTGCATGCGCGTCCGGCGTTGCGTTTGCGTAATACTGAGTAATTAATTCATTTTTTTTAAATACTATACCTAAAATACTGAGTAATTAGTCAATTACCCTTAAAAATGCACTCAAGATCGAGGAGAATTATTGGTTTAGTGGAAATAAACAGTAAGAATGAACAACAACAAAACTTTGAATCAGAGTCAGTAATTTTAAATCCAGGTAAGTTTTACCATGTAATGTTTTAAATATTTTATTTTACTTATATTATTACTTATATAATATTTGATTTTAGTATATAGGTTATTTAAATTATCTATAAACTTTATCTATAAGTGCAGTTTTACTAGAATTGAAAAGGTTTACCGCGTAAATGATCGAAACGGGCAGATTCAATTGTTTACGGCGCGTTGTCGTTTCTAAATAGTATCGAAAATACCAGTTTCGATGATGTACGTTGTTTTTTCATAAATTATTTGTATCCAAAAAGACCATTTCGATACTATACGTGGTATTATAAATTAAAATCTTTATTGATAGTGCCACTTTCGATTTTTTTGCATGGAAATAATATACTTTTTGGAAATATTCGATAGTTATTATTTGAAAATGAAGTACAAATTTGCTTTTTTTAGTATCTATTGCGTATAATTAATAAACCTGGATTATTTAATGAAATATTAATTTAAGTTTTAATGAAATTTCATTTATGTGTAACTATATCATGTTTGTTTATATTTAAATTTTAATGACATTTTATTTATTACATATTCTGTGTATTCATATCTAAGTATTTTTTTAGAGTCGCCGCTACCCGCAAGCTGTACCTTTAATGAATCCGATTGGAATAACTTAAAGGAGCTGGTGGATGAGGAACTCTCCTCGGATAGAAATTTAGTGCAAGAGGAACTCCATAGTTTTAATATCCCCTCTGTAAGACCATGCAATTCATTAATAATCGAAGAAAGTCCAGAGCAAAGTTCATCTGTTATCATGGACAGCAGGGAAACAACTCCGGTACCTTCCCCAAAGTTAAACTTTGGGTCTCCCATACCTTCCACATCTCCTCCGCGTAATGAAGTACAAGAACCCGTGCCTTCAGAACAGTTAGGTGAGAATTATGTTGAGCCTACACCAAGTGTAGATTCATATATAACTGTATCGGAATGTAATTCTCCATGTAGCAGCATAGGAAACAAAAGGAAGCGTACTTTTAAAACTAACCCCGGAAAAAAAAGATCTAGTTGCCCCGAAAAGTGGATTGATAACAAAAGAAAGCACTTATTAAACTCTGGCCAACAATACGTAAGTCGAAATGGAAATATTAAAAATAAAAAAGAATTGCGTCCTGTTTGTTCATCTTCATGCAAAATGAAATGTTCTGAAAAATTTGATACAGACATTCGTAAAAACATTTTTAATAAGTTTTGGGAACTTGCCGATCATACCAGACAATGGGAATTCATCAATAACTTTACAGAAAAAAATAATAAAAAACGAATCACAACAGAGGGACCATCTAGAAGACAATTCACGACTAAGTATTTTTTACCAATACCAGCAGATAATACATTAATTACTCGACAACAGGTTTGTCTTAAAACATTTTTAAATACTTTCTGTATAACTGATCAATTTGTGCGCACTGCCCATAGTAAATTGAGCCAAGAAGGGATTACATTAACGGACAATAGGGGTAAACACTCCAATCATCCAAACGTCGTAGATACTGCAATGGTTAAGAGTGTCTGTGATCACGTAGCTAGCTTCCAACCTGTAGAATCACATTACACACGTAAAGATACCACTAAGTTGTACTTAGACAATAATTTAAATATGAACAGGATGTTTTCTCTATATAAAGAATGGGACCAATTTTCAACCTATAGCAATCCAGCGCAAACCCTTCGTCAGTACAGAGACATCATTAATGCTAATATGAACGTTGGGTTTTTTATTCCTAAGAAGGATATCTGTGATAAATGTCATAGTTATTCTAACAATACGTCTCCAACAGAAGAGCAAATACAGGCTCATAATAAACACCTAGAGAATAAGACAATAGCTAGAGAGATAAAGAATAATGACAAAGAGCAAGCAATAAAATCACCTGACACTGTATGTGCAACATTCGATTTCCAAAAAATTTTAAATTGTCCCCATGGAGACGTAGGTTTATTTTATTATAAACGTAAATTGTCTATATTTAACTTTACCGTTTTTGATTTGGGTTTAAAAGAAGGCACATGTTACATGTGGACGGAATGCACGGGTAAAAGGGGAGCTAACGAAGTAAGTAGCTGTTTGATGCATTTTGTGAACATAAAGGTTGCGGGAGGTGCTAAAAAGTTCTTATTTTGGTCCGATAACTGTGCGGGTCAAAATAGAAATAGAGTCGTATATTCATTCTATATGTACATTTCAAAATGCTATGGCATTGATATTACTCATCGTTTTATGGAGCAAGGCCATACACAAAATGAGGGCGATAGTGTCCACGCCCTTATTGAGAGAGAATCTAAAAGAAAACTAATTTATACGCCTGACCAGTGGTATGCATTAGTACGATGGGCAAAGGCTGAAGGGAGACCCTACAACGTTGTAGAAGTAACCAAAAGTGATCTTTATGATTTTAAATTTTTATTAGATGACAAAAATTGGAAAAAAGATAATAGAAATGAAATTGTAAAATGGAACAGCATTAAAGAAATTAATGTAAGAAAGGAGGAACCAAATAGTCTGTATTTTAAATATGATTTGAAGGGTGAATATTTTTATATAAATACCACCGTAGAAACTAGAAGCCGAAAAAAAAGAAAGGATCAACCAACAGATTTAAAAAATATTTATTTAGAGTCACTCGCTATACCAGAAGCAAAATACAAAGATTTAATTTCCTTATGTCGCTCCGGAGCAATACCCAGAGAATACCATAGATTTTATGAAAGTTTAAAATATAGTACAGTCGCCGAAAGTAGTATAAATGATAATGAATGTGATGAGTAATGTTTCTTATACGTATCCTACTAAATTGTTTTTGTTAAAATGGAAGTTTATGTCATTTTATTATGTTACAATGAGAGGCTATTTTTTGTTATGAAGGTTATGATGGTGATTGATAAGTTGATTTTTTAATTAGATAAATTCCAAAGAAGTCAATCTTTTTAGTTTTTTTATTGGATTGTCATAAGTATGTTTTATTTTTAACTACAATTTATTTGCATTTGTTTTTGTCTTAAGTTAGGCTAAGCACACACTACGATTAAACGCACGCGTTAACTTATTTTATTATTTTCTGAGATATATTTTTTGTACAACTTTTATTTCAAAACTATTATTCTCATGGAAGTTATACTATGTACCTCTACATACTATTTTTATATTTTTATAGTAGCTGTGTTTTAATTGTGATCTCATTCTTTTAAGTTCCTATTATTTTTAGTTTATACAGAAGGTACTTACGATTTGTATTTGTTTAAATTTAACCTAGGTAAAAATAATACGTGATCTCAGATTTTAAAAATTACATTAAGGTTTACAGTGACTGATTAAATTTAGAGTTTTCAATTTATTTTTCAATTTATAATAATATAACTACTTTAATAAAGATATTTTATGTAAATTCTGTTGTTGTTATTCAAAAATAATGGTAAGTACAAGCAATCTACGCAGTAAATAATCGAAAGTGACAGTTGCAATAAATTATTCCTAACATAATCCAAAGTAGAATATCGAAATAGGCAGATGTGATAAATTTTTGTAAATGTAATTCCCTGTAAATAATCGAAAGTGCCAGTTTCGACGCAAAAAGTCAGTTCATTTACGAAGTATACTATGGTAACTCAATTTTCTCGATAACTATTCAAAATTTACAATCTTAGCTTATACGTAATAATTTGTAGGGCCAACACAACTGTTTATCCTAATTTTTATAAAGATTTAATCACCCGTGACAATTTTATGCAAAAAATAAACTTTAAATCGCTCTCCTGCAAAGTAGCGATTTTCACTTTCGATACTTTACCTAGGGACCATCGATGTATCCTCCATAAAATTGTTCACTGTTCAATGGATAGTGGCCTAATTGAGTATTTAAATTTAAGAATACCGACTCGGTCTGTTCGTACTCCTCGAGTGTTTAATATTCCTACTAGTAATAATAATGTCTCAGAAAACAATCCTCTATATAGAATGTGTAAAAACTATAATTCTATTTGCGCTCAAGTGGATATATTTCATGACAAACACAGTGCTTTTAAAAAATTCCTTCTGCGTCACAGCGACGCTCGATGAGCATGATATGTGTCGTTACGCCATTGTTTCAGGATTGTTGTTCACTCATTCAGCTGTTCCCTTTGTACCTTTGTTACCTTTGATTTCTTGTATGGCCTGTTTTTAGTAATTTTTAGTTTTCTTAAATTGAACAAAATTTATTATAGTAAAATGGATTAACATTTGGGAATTGTTTATGTAGTTTGATATAAATGGATTATGTACAGTTGTAATTGGACTTCAGGTTCGCTCACTATTTATAATTGAGATTGTTGTGTACGATTTCAATCTGTCGTCTGTATCTGTACTTATGTAAAATAAATAAATAAATAAATAAATATACGCAGTCTTGCTTAATTTTTGACACAAAATTTCAGCATGGTTTTTCCACGTCAACCTATCATCAATATACAATCCCAAAAATTTTGTAACTAAAGTGGTATCTACTATTTCGTCTTTATATTTAGTTATAATATTAGTAGGCATTAGCCGTTGATGGAAGTGCATTACTTTTGTTTTTTGTAGATTTAAAACAAGGTTGTTTTTATTAAGCCAAACTATTATTTCTTTAAATGTATCATTTATGTCTTTTTCGTATTGAGCTTTATTTGTGCATTCAATTATAGCTGTGCTGTCGTCTGCAAATAAAGTCATTGGATGATGTATCTGACGTGGTAGGTCGTTAATATAAAGTAGAAATAACAGTGGCACAAGCACACTGCCCTGCGGAACTCCAAATTCAGTTATTCTACAATCGGATAAATATTTCATTTCGCGTTTAGTTTTAGGACATATTCTCGCTATTTCAGTAAATTGTTTACGATCCGTAAGGTAAGATTTTATTAAATTTAAGACTTTGCCTCTTACACCGTAGTGGCTTATTTTATTTAATAAGATGTCATGTTTTACACAATCGAATGCTTTCGTCATGTCTGTGAATATTGCGCATACAGGATTCTTTTTATCTACATTATTCGTGATCACCTTTAAAAGATCAAATATTGCCATGTTAATATTTTTGTTTTTTCGAAAACCGTTTTGCTCTTTGCACAAGATATTATGTTTAGTTACAAATGCGTAAATAGACTCATAAATAACTTTCTCGAAAATTTTAGAAAACACCGAAATTAAAGCTACCGGTCTGTAATTCGACATGTCTTCCTTATTGTTTTTTTTAAAGGCGTGATGTTATATAAAAGGAATATTTTTTTTGTACTAAATGCCCTGATATTACTTTTCAGAATCTGGAGAAACGAAGGATTCTCGTGGGCCTTGTGATGTGCTTGCCTAGATATTTAGGTTTTGTTTAATTGTTAATTTTTAAGCATTGTTTTGGACAGAGTCTGAACCTAAGTAAGACAGAAAGAAGCTCGACAGAAAATAATATTAAAGGTTTACTTTGAACATTATCAACGTATATAGGCCTCCTTTTCTTTAGAGCGAACTTTGATAGCTTCTGAATTCCATGCGGGCGAAACCACAGACACAAAGCTAGTGTAACATATCTTGGTGGCCTACAAAGCACCTCGAATCTTTATAAGTGCGATGTAAATAAAAGGGGCACACGGGGGCTGCAATATAAAACGGCGGCGACGGTTTATTTCGACATTTGTCGCGAATAAATCACAATTTGAGAAGAACTATAGTGGTGCTTTGCCAAGAGACGCCGCGGCACAAGTGCCGGGCTGAAGGACGCGTACACACGGGTCCCTAGTTCGAGCTGAAACGATATTGATACTGTTTGGTTTCAGTATCATGACATAACCTAACATTTTTTCACAAACACACCAACAACAACGTGACAGTTCAATGTTGACCTCTATGGATCTCTTCTGCGTAAAATGGTTAATCAAAACCTCCACGCATAATATATAGCTACCTTACTTATTCTCAGATTGAACGTAACAACCACTTTTCATCAGTTAGGTACTTTATGAACCTTATATAATAGGTACGAGTTCACTTCCTAACAATGGGCATTACAGCCTATTTCTTAGAACCTCGCTAGTCGAACCGAGGATCAAACAAAATTACTCAACTATACTAACATAATTACTCCTTATAATACATTTTACTAAAGGTCATGTTATAAATATTTCAAATCAAGAACATCATAATGAAAGCAAATGTTACCTTTCTTAACTTGTCAAGAAGAAAATGATATGTTATACAACAACAAGAGAAAAGCAATCAACACTTAGCTCATATTTAGCTCCATATATATTTAAGGTAAATGAAGGTTTACAAGTACTTGCGAACAACAAGCAAGTACACGAAGTCATTAGAATATACCTACGCATAATAAGAGCTCACTTATTTAAATATGTTCTACAATAAGCTCCATGCGTTATTGTTGCTTGTATAAATTAAAGTGTTTTAATGATTACCTTGCTTCTAACGACCTAAAATTGTTGCCTACGACATTTTGGGAACAATGTCTAAGATCATGAAACGAATTACGTACCTAGATGCCTATTTCAAAGAATCCGAAGTTCCCTATATGGTCCGCAACTTTAGTGATGCCTTTGGTGTTACAAGTGTACTTAGCCAATGGTGATAATTTACTCAATCAAGCGAAGTTAAATAAAATCATATTCGGTTATTTTTATCCAGACAGTCAATACAAAAGTAAGGTACTAATGTCACAAGTGAAGGCGTGCGTGCACAATATGCGCGCGTATGTTGCCTCGGCAACCTGGCGGCTTGCATCGCCGATGTTGATATGAACTTATATTCTTTGCATTTACATAACCTATTTCAGCAAGACTTTACGTCCTCTACACGTTCACTTTGTGCAAAATACTATTGTTTAGATCAAAATGAGATAGAAACTTATGACTATTGCGACCGAGTATGAGTTGAACCTGTCAGTTGTGGTAATGTACGTTATGTGTCTGGAGTTATTTTGTGAAGGTTTGAGTAGAATAAGTACCTCACTATGCAATGGCTTTTCTTTTTTCAGAGACATGTGTCTGTATATTTTTTTAGGTAGTCAATATTTTTTCCCATATTCTGACCAATAAAACCCGCATCGCTTAATGGCATGACACATAATTTAGGAGAACGTTGAACTTAATTACTCTAATCTCGATTACGTTATTAAGGGCGACACATTCAATTTTTGCTATTATATTCAATAAAGATCCCCTTAATACCCCATAATTCTGCTTTAGAATATCCGAACAACAAAATAACGCGCATGTTTGTAAAGTGAGCGAGTGCCATGGGGCCCATAATCCAAGGGTATCGCATAAACCGCCCGGAATCGTTTATTCATTGGCACATCACACGGCCTTGTTAAAATTCTATTCCTGCCTACACTATCGCAGCTCATGACACGCTTGAAGACGACGACTATGGTGTTTTGTACATTATACCCTCACCCTTAATATAGTCCTTGTTACTTTAGGAGATGTAAATGAAGTCTATTTCGGACGACATACATACATTTAAGTACAATTATCCATGTTGGACTTATAAGTCAGGAGTCACAGGATACAGACGACAGCGACTGGGTAATAAAGAAAGTATTGAAATAATGACAGCTGCGCTTTGAATGTCGATCGTCAAAGCACCTCACTCGTACCCTCATCAGTCATTTCAATCCTTCACTACCTTCGTGTGTATGGCAACGGCTTTGATGGAAACTATACTAAAATTCCTTACAACCGAACAATTTTCCGGAAAAACGTCACCCGACGCTCGGGTCCTCCTCTATTCCCAGTCCGCCGTCACAAACAGTAACAATACACGATTTTTTAATCAACCTCACTTCAGGAAAGATTAAAAAATGTCATAGTGAGGGACGCGTCATCGTGAGTGACGCGCGGCTCCCTCGCGAAATTTAAAACAATACGGACAGGTAACTAGACGGGATTAGAGGGGAATATAAAAAGCCTCACCTGTTGTTCATGATCATTAATCATCGGAGCAATTGCTGAGCAAATTTATCTTTATCAAGGTCCCGAAACGACGGGAGTTCGCATAATGACTCGTAAACATTTTTGATAATAAAATAAAGTCAAAGTCAAAGTCAAAGTCAAAGTATTTATTCGTGTGCTTTTTGGTGATACAAAAGGGTCTTAAAATTATTATTATAGTAGCGCAAAAAGCTGCCCATTAGGCATACACTATTTAAAGTATAAAAATATTCATCACATTCAAAATTGTAACAAAAATAAATAATAAAATGTCAAAAATTAGTCACAATATAAATTATAAATTATAACAGGCATTAAATAAACAATCAATAGCAAAAATGTCAAAAATTTTGCAACAAAATAAATTAATACAAGCACTAAATAAACAATAAGTTACCCAAGTTTTCATAATTAATTATACACATAGTTGTCAGTTTATTACATTTTGTCATGAAAGAAATCGTCAATGGTATAATAGCATTTATCAATTAGAAAATTGTTAAGTTTCCGTTTAAATTGTGTTAAATTCAGATTCTTGATAGTATTTGGGATTTTATTATATATTTTGGGTGCCATGCAAAGGATACTTTTGTGCTTAAGGGCTGTCTTTGAGGCTCTCAGACATAATTCGTGTCGACGTTCTGATCTTGTCGATCTATGACGGTCCTCAGAGGCTTTTTTAAACAAAGTACTATTTTTTCTGACGAACAGTGCAGTTTCGTATATGTAAAGGCAGGGTAAAGTTAGTATTCTAAGAGATTTAAAATGAGGTTCACAACTGTCCGTTACTTTCAAGCTACACATCGACCTAATGCACCTTTTCTGTGCTTTAAAAATAGTACATTTCTCGGAGGAATTTCCCCAAAAAATTACACCATATCTTAATGTGGATTCAACATAACCATAGTATGCAGCAACAACTGCTGCCTGGTTAACTATTTTCTTGAGTTTGTATAGAGCAAAGGCAAAGCGACTTAATTTTTTTATAAGAATTGATGCATGTTCTTTCCAAGTCAGTTTACAGTCAATAGTTAGTCCCAAAAATCTTGTATGTTCTACTTCTTCAATTCTTTTATCGTCAATAGATATATTTATGTCAGGAGTAGTTGTTCTTTGTCTAAATTGTATAATTTTAGTCTTATTTACATTTAATTGTAAATTATTTTGATCAAGCCAATTAATTGATTGTTGCAAAGAATCTTTAATGTCACGTTCATAATTTCTATTTTTATTCTGTTCAATAATTATTGTGCTGTCATCAGCAAAAAGAACCATAGGAAAAGTGACGTGTTTTGGAAAGTCATTTATGTAAACCAAAAATAACAGCGGGCCCAGTACGCTACCCTGTGGCACGCCATAAGTGACTTTACGTGTTTTAGATAAATATTTAAGTTCCTTTTTACCTTTTTTTGAGACTCGTTTAATTTCCGTACACTGCGTTCTATTGTCAAGATATGATTGTATAAGTGAAAATGCTTTGCCCCTTATTCCATAAGCATTTAGTTTCTGTAGTAAAATATTATGATCAACTAAGTCAAAAGCTTTCGTCATGTCCATAAATATAGCACTAATTGGGATTCTGTTATCAATATTTGTGATTAAGATATTAAGGAAATCGTAGATAGCCATGTTTATTGATGTATTCTTTCTAAAACCTTTTTGTTCTTGTACTAATAGATTATGTTTTGTAAAAAAAGAATCCATACGGTGATGAATCGCTTTCTCAAATATTTTTGATATCATTGGTATTAGGGCAATAGGTCTATAATTATTTATATCATTTTTATCATTTTTCTTAAATAGTGGTTTAATTATAGTTGGTTTGAGTTTATCAGGATAGATTCCAGATGAGATACTAACATTAATTATGTGACAAATGGGCCCAGATATTATATCGGAAACAAATTTTAATCCTTTTGTCGAGATGTCATCATATCCTACACTAACTTTATTTTTTAGATTGTCTATTAGCCTACGTATTTCATCAGGTGTAGTCGGAGCCAAGAACATTGATTTGCAACATGTATGCGGGATTTCATAGTTTGCAGATTTTGAGACCTTCGAAAGTAATTCTGCTTGTTCCACAAAGTGATCGTTAAATGCGTTAGCGATATCACTAGGATCGGTTATTATATCCCCGTTCCTTCGTATTTCCGCTATGTGTTCATAGGGAGAGCAGTATTTATTTTCATTAATGATCCTCCATGTGTCTTTGGATTTATTGGTTGAGGTCATTATCTTATGGTTATTTCTTGCCTTTTGTGTTAGTTTTATTATTTTTTTTAATCTTTGCGTGTAACTTTTAAGTTTCGTTAAGTTATTGTAATTTGGTTT